TAGCCATTGAGCTGAGTGGTCAAAAGTGGCCTCGGTAGCGTAATAGGGAACGCAACTGCCCGGTAAGCAGAAGATGCGGGTTCGAATCCCGTCCGTGGTCCGACTTTTGCCCATAACTCAGCATTCTTGTGAGCTTTCGGATCGCGTACTGCGGCGTTAAACAGCAGTTATCAAACAATAACATTATTATTATTGGTGTTATAGACTACGCTTTATACACTACGCTCCATGCCGCTGAGATGGGGTAGCGTGACCTCTTAAACGCGACGTTACGCACGTTTTTCGTGGGATATTTCTATTTGAGACAACTGTGTTCCTGCCCCGCGGTGGATGAAGATATGATCAGAATTGTTCCTGATTAGCAATATCATATATAAGCGTTCCACAGCTTCTTCACCGTCCCTCGCAGTCGCTGTTCTCATATGAAAAACGGTAATTGAAATTCATCATTTTCGACACACTTCGCTATATGAATCTCTACCAAGCCACAACGTGGTTGGAGCCATAAGCGGCATTTCCCTTATTTAGATCTTGATGTTAGCTTCCACAGTACGGCTTTGGAATGGCTCAATTGCTTCCGCTTTAGTGACTTCTATCCGGGTGAAAAACTTCGTCCAAGGAGGCCACCTGCCTTGGATTTGGACCTACTGTGTTCCTTGATTAAAACCAATTCGTACGAATCAACTTGCTATCTAGTCCTTACTTGACTGGTCCCAAAGCACAAATGAGAGAGGGCCTCGCTCCCTTAGAAAAGTTCTGAAGTTCGGTCAAAATTTTTCTCATGAGTTGACCAGTACTCCAAGGGGAGCACATGTGGGTACTGTCTACAACTTCTTCCCGCTTCCGCTGTACGGGCTGGTTGAACAGCACTGTAACTGGATATGGAGTGGGTGCCTCTAGATCTCCTGGGAGCGCCAGCGGCTAGATCCCCCAGAAAGGGCAGAACCGATCGCGCAATCCTATCAATCCAGTAGGGCGGTGAGGCTGTGTATGTGGTGGGGTACCTTTCTCCGCTCTCGAAACGGAATTCCTTCCTTCCAACGCTATGGTAACCAGGGAGCCCTATTGTAATCAACTGCAAAGGGGGTTGAAAATCGCTACCATTTGGTCCCAAAACCGAGCAATGTTTGCCTACTCCACCACCTCAGGGTCACACATTTGGAAAACGACACTGCTCGAGATCCCGAAGCTTAGCTGGGGAATTCCACCACAGTCTTCGTGTAGCCCTGACTTAGCTCTTTCCGATCGCCATCTAAACTAATCCCACAGCGGCCATCTTTTGGGGAAAAATACGATTTTTGATAGTACCTCAAAAATGACCCAGCTGCCTTTCTGGGCACAGAACCAAGAGGCTTCTGGAAGCAGGGCAACCACACATTGCGTAGTGATTGGCAACAAGTTGCCAATGAAGGTGACATATATATAGTTGATCAAAATTGCTTCCCACTGGAATAAACTTAATTCGAAAAAAAGTTTGAAAGTGTCCACGAACTTTTGGGACAACCTAACATAATATGCCATTGTCAGTTATTCAACTGAAGTATTTGTGATCAACGTTGTTCTACACGTACAGTACCTGCTCACGACACTATGATCGGTACACTGTCTTCTCGTTTTCTTGTGTGGTATGCCCTCCCCACCCGACAATTTAGAGAAAGCACAATTTGGAAAAAGACTGGAAAATTCTTGGAAAATAGGCAGAAAGCTGAGGAAGTTGGTAAGATGTTGATTAAGATGCAAGGAGAGGGGTCAAACTAAAATTGGGAGAAGAAGTTTAGGGAGCGGTCCTCCGACCGCCGTTCCTCCGATCCCAATGCTCTACCCTTGTTCCCATCCAACCATCTCGCTGGGTATTCCAAGGCACCTAACAGTAAGTGATAAAAACACGTCTTACTCGTTCAACTTTGTCGTCAAGGTTCCTGAGTGATTCCTATCGAACCAGCCTGCATTCTGACGAAGTATCGCCCAAACATACTCGTGACGCATTTTGGCCATCACACGAACACAGCAGCTGTGGAAACACATAAACTGAAAATCATGGACTCTGAGGAAGAATACATTGCAAAGTCGAATCGCATTCAGAAATCACTACAACCCTTAATGAATGTAATAGACTGGTATGGAAGTCGTTGTAAGAAATGTTCTTGATTGCCTAAACTCCCACTGGCTGTTAGTCTCAGTCGCCCGAAGAAGTCTTGAACCACGCTCAGGCTTCTGAGGACGGCGATAGTGCTAGAAGGTTAGGCAGTGAGGGTTCGAGTCCCGCCCGTGGTCCGACTTTTGCCCACAACTCAGCGTTCTTGTGGTTAAGCAGTGAATTTCACAAAAGCCTCTTCGAGCCATCGTCTTCCAAGGATGGTGTCTAGGCAGATCAATGACGGCACTCTGCAAGACCCGCAGTGCATCGAGAGGCTATCACTAATTGTAAGATGGGAACTGACTTTGTGTGGCTTGCCTCCAAGAGAAGAAACCGTCTTTGAAGAGAAACATCAGACACAGCGCCTCGACAATATGGAGAACCGCCACTCTCTAGCTGAGTATTTGAAATTTAGTACCCGCAGTCCTCGATGAGAATGCCATTTAACAATACTTACTTGCCTCACAATCAGACACCCGGATATTGGGAAATTCGCTGTTGCGATGTACCTCTCACCTAATCTTCGACGGCACGCGCTACACCCGGGTATCCAACTGTCAGCTTTACTTCATCTGTTCTCATAACAGCTTCCAGAAATCCTGGCCCCAGAATTCCAATACTTGCTGTGTAAATGCCCCCGAGGTGAAGACCCGTATACACAAGCGCTAATGCCCTCCAATAAGGTGTTTCGTTGCTTGTGGAATGCGTGAGGATTGCTACATAATGCAAGAGGTCCAGCAGGGACATACGCCCAGCGATGCCACTTATGCCCCTAAACTCCAGAAACTCGCGGAAGCTATAGAGAAGGTGACTGTGATGCAGCTTCTTCACGGCAACATGGGACCTCACATTACCAAGGCATATAAAATTGAAGAGTCAGGCTGAAAAGCAGCAACACAACTTCCCAATGCTCTTAACATAGCCCCTGTTGATTATCATTAGACTTTTTGTCTACAAGAGCTCTCACAGGTGAAATTTTATTGATCCTGGAGGTCGTGCCTTTCTTCAGCCACCCGTCTGCCTGACTTTACCAGATCGCTGACTTTTCGGAAAAGTAAGTATGGACGCCTTTCTGGAAATTATGGGCGTCTCCTTTCACATATTTTTTTCCTTGCTTTCGAACCAAGTTGGCAGTTTTACCTCTGTTACAATTTGTATAATTTTTTCTGTGCTTTCTCACAGTATGTTACTTTTTTGGTTTCCTGCTATTGCGCCAGTGCCTGCCCTAATCGTTCGTGAGAAATACATCTTTTCATAATACAGTGCTAAGATTTTGAAAGTTACTTTTTTAAAGTGTTAATACTCCATCCTTGAAAATGGCCACGGAAAAGAGGCCTACGAGCTGTAAACGAAGGGCTGGCGTTCGCCCCGTGGAGGAATTGTTATGGTCGAACGAAAGGCGTTCCAAGATCAAACCAGCATCAGTCAAACAAATGTGAACTAAGTGGTTAGTCTATCGCGTATCTTGCGCAGTGTCTTGGGCTCCGTCAACAAAGTCCAATTGTCTTTCAGCAGCCCGGGCCGAAATGCATTGAATTTCCTTATGTGGTGTTTTGTACGAGTAAGCGTAAGAAAACCTAACCGGACATTTGTTGACATGAACACATCTATTTGGCACGAATTGTAAATGGACCAATGTTCAGGCTCATCAAAGAAAAAGCTCTGAAAAACGTTGAGGCCAACTGCAGACAGATGATTCCGTGGTAATTATCTAACTCTAACAGGACTGCGCTCATGAGGGGATAGGGGCTATGGCGTACCTTGGGCTATGTCCTGGGCTCCGTCAACAGAGACCACTTATCTTTCAGCCGCCCGGGCCTAAATTTACTGAATCTTTATATGAGGTGTTGCACGAGCGGGATTAAAAAAACCCACTATTGGACATTTGTTGACATGAACACATCTATCTGACACGAAAATTGTATATGCAAATGTAAAATTGTATTTGTAAATGGACTGCCTGCGGCGCACTCTTGATTCAATCGTCTCGCGCTTGCCCCGCACACCCGCAAATATGCACTGCTTCACTGGGTCGATGTAATAACCCTTTGAAAAGTTGGCAATGAGAGTATTGTGGAACATCACATTATTGAATGATCTATCAAGACGTAGAGCTTATGTCTACAGAGTAAATGGCCACAACCTGTATGAAGTTTGTGATGAGAATAAAGACGCCGATTCCGAGGAAAATGTATACATTCTCGTAGGCCTTGTTTCTGAACTCCTCAGAGTTCGGCGGATAAACAAGCAGCACATTTGTAATACGGCCACTGAAAAACTAAGTTTCGCTTCAGTAATCAAAGTTATGCCCTTTGAACATTGAAAAACATGCAGCTGAGTCATCACATTGACTCATAACTCCTGCATGATTGTTCGAACGGATACGCGTTCATACTTACTAGTCGCCTTAGATTGCGCAACCCGAGCAATTGATACTGTGCGCCATTGCTGCTGTCCACCGCTTAGGCCGAGTCGCTGAGTTGCGACTCTCGAAAATATGTGAACAGAGGAATCGGAAAGTTCGCACCAAAGAATAGCGTAAGCATCGATTGGGCAGACTGGAAAAGCAGGGCAACATTGAAGTTGGCCCATTGAAAATCGATCTGCTGCATCTTTTCTAAGAGCATAGTCCCAGAATAAAAACTGCCCGGTTTATAATTCTCCAAACTCGTCAGATCGACCAATGTTGATGCTCGCAGGGTTCTACATATTTTCGTATACTCTTACTTTCATGTTCTACTGTACTCCAGTGCGCCAAGTATGAAAGCGGTGTCAACAGTGGACACCTGCAAGTGCGTCCAATTCGCAGCCGCTCGAATCTTGCGAAATTGGTACACTTACCTGACAAGCGCCATTACAGGCTGTGATATCCCACTTATTATCGAGCATATAACGCCAACAAAAAGACACAAGTGGTCCCATGGCGTGGCAAATCGAAACTGAAATTTTACGGGAATGACAAGGCTACGTTTCCCTTGAAACACATTTTGCGGTAGAGGCAAGATGTCTTCAGAACAATTATTCTGAAGCCGGTAGAAGTTCGGGAAATTCGGCGAAACGGTGGGTCTGTTGCGAGAATGGTCGATACCCTCCATTCGAGAGGGGGTAATATTGACATTTTACCCTTTCGGTGTGCCTTTCTTATGATACCCTAAGAACCAGAATCTTCCACCTTTGGCAGCGATGTTTGTAGGGCCAGGTGTGTTGTTAGCACAATCTCTACTTACCTAGTTGTGCAGTCGAATATCCAACTACAAAACTCTGTTTGATTTTGCCGCAGTTTACCGTGAAATACACACCGACAACGGGCGGTCCTGTCCGGTTTTCTGACACTGTATGAGAAATCCATTTACCCTATTTTCTGGAGTATATGGCGCACCCATGCATAGGAGGGAAATTCGCTCCGAACACCGCGAATGTTTCTTCCTCACTTTAGTTCTGTGTGTTTTTCGTTTCTATATCCCTATTAGCAATCCATATTCAGTAAGAGGTATGTGAAAACACGAAATCATCAAACTGTGCAAAAGAGGCAGAAACATGTTCTGTTGCTATGTATACTGACATTTCATGCGCATTGCCTCGTACAGCTTGGGAAGTGCGCCCTATACTTCAGAATTTGGGATATACCTCTGTACAAAGGCAACGTCAAAGGAACACCACTGAAAACCAAAATGAACCGACTATTTTGAAAAATCGAACATACGAGAGGGTCGAAAGCAGCGAGATAGCGACTTATGTTTCGCACGTGCCCTCACAAGAGAGGTCGTTCAGGGCGTGGTGCGCTTTTCGAAAACGGTTTTTGCATATTGTAGGGGCTCATGCAAGGACCTGAAAAGTGTGCTTCATTTTCGCTGCGCGCTTCCAGGAAAGGTAAAAAACGAGTGAAAAGAAATCTTTGGAATCTGCTTCGTTCTGGGCCTCTATACGGCGTAGGTCACTTGCAACTTTGACCAGTTGCTGAGTGGGGGTCCTTATAAAGGGGCTATTTGAATCGAAGCGAAAAATCGCCGCAAGTGAGCTTCCAACTTGGGTCACGTGCTCAAGGGTGAACGGCTTCTAACAGGATCGTATGGGCTAGTGGATAGAGTGGAGGTTTCGCAATCGGACAGTGGGGTTGATGGTTCGGCTCCCCTTGCGTCGCGGCTTTTTGCATTTTTTAGATTTCGCTGTTCTCGCTTCCATTAGTGTCTGCGCATGAATATAACTCGGATATTTGCCATTTATGGGCACATTCTGAGTAGCTGTACCTCATGAGTCAGTGCTATTCAACTATTTCGATTTTCACGCACCATTGAACAAGATTGTTGCTGAACGTTGATCTTCATAGGCTACACAGTATATCTGATCGCGAATATAGTAACTTGTGTGGTGTCAATTATAGCCAATTTGGGGTAACATCTGCTTTCCACTATATTTGTTATCTATATGTAACTATACAATTGACGTTCAGCGATATCCTGGCGGCAAATTGCATGGAGATCAAGAACAGGTGTCATATCGTGATCAAGACCACTGGTTACCCCTACAAAACAAATTTTCGGTCAAAACAATTGTTTTGACCTTCTTGGGTTTGCTTATTGGGTTGTCCGGGGTCCGTAGCGTCAACGATACGTCATCGCTGTTACGAAGATGTGAGACTCCGCTCACACTGCCGACCAAATGGTCGGTCACCTACAACCCGAAAAAGTCAAAAAATTTTTTTGCTCAAAACTTGCTCCTAGGGGTAATCGATAGTCCTGATCACGATTCTAGATTTATTTTTGGCGCCAGTGCCATCTGGCACCGGCATAGCGCCGAAGAGCTGAGTCTGTGCATACTAACGAATTCGAACGAAAAAGCAGTTTTGCTCCATAAAAGTAGGATTGTTCAGTTTATCGTGAATGTTTTTGTTAGGACCAATTATTTAGACAAACATGGATCCAAAAAATGAAAAATTGTAGAAAAGCAAAATTTTGTCCTCGGTGGGATCCGAACCATCGACCTATTTTTTTTTTTTTTATTCGTAGAAGCGCGCAGCGAAAATGAACCTCAGTTTTCTGGTCCTCGTATGTGCCCCTACAATATGCACAAAACCATTTTGAAAAAGCTCACCACGCCCTGAACGACCTCCCTTGTCAGAAGGAACTCGAGGAAAGCATATCGATCCCTCCGCGCTCATCTCTAGAGGAAGGTACTCGTAAAAAATTTGCAACGAGCAGGTGGAGCAATGCTCGAGAAATGATTTCTGGAGGTTTTTTGAGGTGTGTTTTACCATCAAACTTACCCGCGCACGATTACCTAGGGCTCACAAAAAAACTAGCCCGAAGAGGCAGGGTATAATAAATAGATGGATGGGAAGGAACTGTCCAGCCAAAGTATCGCAATTTTTGTTGTGTCCACTTTTCGACATGTGGTCTAGCACTGCTATTGGAGCGAGTGGACGTGCTCTCCACGGCAATGTGTGAAGATTTGATATACTTGAGCACAGCATAAACAGCAGTGAGATTAACAGGAAAGAAGAAGATCCCGGTACACAATTTTTCGGATATTCCAGAAAATCACTGCTCAAATCCTATAAGTGCTTTTTTCGTTGCAATACCTGGAGGGCCTGGTGGTGACGTCCGTTCCTCCAAGTGGTGCCACCGGGACCTGCTCGCTTTTGCGGGCTGAGCAGAACACGGACGAACTCGAAAGCAGGCGACAGGCCTTCGTGACGGGCCGGCTTACGAACACCCCATGTCACATCATTATGTTTAACTATGCCTTATGAATTTCGAGATAATGCTACGGCGTCCGCGGGAGCCGACGCGCACTCGCAAGGCCCGACGAGTGTGAAAAATATGCGAGGGTCCTCGTTGCAAGGACGGCATCGGGGGGCAACCAGGCTAGTCCGAAAGACGTGCAATGTGTTAAAGGCTCGCATTGCGACGCTGAACGTTGGACGCTGACTGGACGCTCGTATGAGTTAGCAGAAGCCCTAGAGCGTAGAAAGATCGACCTCTGTGCCGTGCAAGAGACGAGATGGGCTGGTTGCAAGTCGAAAGAGTTAGGCCGCGGCTTCAAAGCCGTTCTTTGTGGCGGGCCGAAAACTACAAGTGGTGTGGCCGTGATCGTGTCTCAGCGATTTCGCGATACGATTGTGAGCGTAGATCGTTTCGACGACCGTTTAATGAAGATTGTTGTCGCTATTGAACAACGACTGTACCACTTCTTCTCTGCATATGCCCCACAAACTGGATGCTCTGAGCAGTCCAAGGACGAGTTCTGGGCTCTGCTGGACGAGAAGACGGCTGAAGTGCCACCAAAAGACGGTATCATTGTAGCCGGCGATTTAAACGGACACGTGGGCGCTGCAAAAGACGGCTATGCTTGTCATGGCGGATTCGGCTACGGTTCACGGAACGCCGATGGTGAGCGAGTCCTTGAGTATGCAGAGTCGCATAATCTCGTCATTCTGAACACAAGGTTTCGTAAACGTGACTCCCATCTCATCACGTTCTACAGCGGGAGTACCAAGACACAAATAGACTTTGTGCTCATCAGACATGGCGACCAAGGACTCGTGACAGACGCTAAGGTACCGTATGAAACGGTTGCCACGCAGCACCGCCCACTGATCTGCACGCTCAGACTTGTAGCTCCCAGACCGAGGCAGGCAGAACGATGCGGTCCTGAAAGAATAAAATGGTGGCGACTAAAAGAGCGGGAGGCAGCTGTGATTCTCTCGACTACCTGAAGTCACAACTGTTCAGGAGACCTGGGACGAAGCTATTAATTCTATAATCCAGGCCGCCCGCTCCGAACTCGGCACAACGAAGCCTGGACGGCGGAGGATTGACAAAGAGGCATGGCTCTGGACGGACGACGTCAAAGCGAAGGTTCGAGAAAAGAAAAGACTCTATCACGCGTTTCTCGAGCACAAGTCGGCTGACAACTGGCGGCAGTATCGGGAAGCGAGGAAGGCGGCAAAGACGGCCGTGGCTGCTGTGAAGGCCGCTCACTTCGATGATATCAGCAAGAAGCTGGAGACGCGCGACGGTGAGCGGTACCTGTACGGACTTGCCAAATCTCGTCATCGCCAAACCGAAGACATTGAGAAGTTTTTTGGCATAAGTGATGAGAATGGCCACCTTCTGATGGACCGAAAAAGGGTATTGCAACGATGGCGTGAATACTTCGAGGGCATCTCAACGGTGGAATTCGCCCATCCCGCTATACCCTGTACCGCACCAACATATGGCCCCGTTCAGAAGATCACCGTACAGGAAACAGAAGCTGCTCTGAGGAAGATGAAGGCCGGCAAAGCAACAGGCCCCGACGACATCGCAGCTGATTTGTGGAAGTCACAACGCTGGTTTTCTGCGGGTTGGTTGACGAAACTCTTCAACCAGATCGTCGAAGAGAAGAAGGTGCCCAAGGACTGGCAGCAGAGCGTGACGATCCCGATTTGGAAGAAGAAGGGCAACCCGGCAGATTGCTCGAACTACCGTCCAATTCGCCTTCTCTCGCACACTATGAAAATCTTCGAGCGAATTGTTGACGCCCGTGTTCGTGATATCGTCCAGCTTTCCACCAATCAGTGTGGCTTCGTGGCGGGTTGTAGCACCGTCGACGCCATACATGCCGCTCGCCTATTGCTGGAGAAACACCGTGAGAAGCGAAAGCCCGTGCATGTAGCTTTCTTAGACCTGGAGAAGGCATTCGATCGTGTGCCACGTGATGTTATATGGTACGCTTTGAGGCGGCACGGCGTGCCCGAAGAGCTAATTGAGTGGGTGCGCATCCTTTACTCATGCCCAGGGAGCCAAGTTCGCTCACCAGCGGGTGTCTCAATGGAGTTCCCCATCACCGTCGGGGTACATCAAGGCTCTGCGCT